GGAGTCATTAAGGATTTTATGAAAATAAGAGCAGAAATCCGGAGGACGACAAAAAGTGGATATGCCTGCCTTCAGTGACTTCAGGGGCTTGCTCAGTGAGAATGGTGTCTATGTACTATCAAAGGCTTGAAGCAGAGTGTAGAACAAAGCCTTGGAAGTAGCATGGATACGATGACAGCAATGGAGTGAAATCACTGAAACAGGCAGATAAGAGAAGGATCCTACGGAGCAAGAGGGGACTCTGATAGGACCCGAAGAGAGAGGATTGCAGATTAAACCACACTATTGGATCAATACTCCCGGCAGAGTTGGAGGGATGAGGAAACCGGCGGAGAGTTTGAATAAATTATAAATAGATCTGTATAAACAAGTAAGAAATTGTGATATTGAAGGGTAGATACGAGGATATAGGGTAGGTGAATAGCCCAGGGCAGAAGGAGAGATATCACAACTGTTTAGCACGCATTTGGTCAAAGGATCGTCTTCACTTGTCTCTTTGACGACTTGTAGTGTGGTGCTATGAATTGTAAGGCTCACTGCCGATGCAGATAAAACGTCTGGGAATGTACCACGTCCACAGTCTGAGTGTGGAAATTATCATGCATACTATGGACTACGAACAAGGTGCGTTCCTCCATGTCTTCCTATTAATATGACCAAGTTGCTAAAACAAGGTCAAACAACTCCCATATTAACTATGTTTGCTGAACAGTATATTAGAGTACTCCGGGCTACACGTAGAGTAAGTAGATATGAATAAAAGATGCTTTCAAAGAATTTCTTAATGAGTTAGTGAGACTCGACTTTCTATGTCGAAGGCAAAGGTGGTTAGAAGGAATTCATGAATTAGTCTCATTAGAAACCGAAGGACTGCTGCAGAGTGAAGAATGTGAAGAAGAATTCCGTCGGGAATCAGTCCATCCTGCAACTCAAACGAACCCATGCCAGGCTTTTGTCTGTCATGTGACAGACATCGGCAGAGCAAGAAACCATACTTTATGAAATAGCACAACAATATACTAAACCATAAGTAAAGGTGGCTGACTGCAGG